CGGGTCCATATCCAAATATAGAAAGCTGTCTGAAAAATGGAAACAGATAGGTTGAGAAGCAGTGCAAAATAAGTGAAAAATAAGCATGGTATTCACCATTGCCATGATCATGAATGGGCTGTGTTCAGGGTTCAGGGTCCATCTCTAAAAATAGAACAAAGCCAGATAGATTGTATAACATGATTACAAAATATGCCAAAAAAGGGAAGAAAAATCGGAATGATATTTGCTGTTGTCATGATATTGAAGGGGCTGTGTTCAGGGTCCATATCTAAATATAGACAGAAAAAAAAACAACTCAGAGAAAACAGCTGGAAAGTGAAGAAACTTGTACACAATAATTTAGCTATATTTGGGCAGATTCCCATATTTGGAAGTGTATCCTGGACCCTGAATACAGCCTCTCCAATAGTATAGCAACATTAAATATCAGAAATGTGATTATATCATCTGACTAGCCTTCTTTCTTATGCAGATATTGGTCAAAATACATGACTATTTTCAAAAAGTGTCCAATTTTTTCAGTATTTTGTGTTTTTCTCAATAAGGAATGATCTGTGTGACATTATTTATATATATTTGTAAAGGTAAGCAAAGGGGCTACAATTCTTGTTAATAAAGCTAAGTGAGAGGCTGTGTTTCTGGTACTGTGGGAAAATTGACCTGAAAAGGAAATTAGGGACAGTTTTATAGAGCATGCTGTTATATTTCTCAATGTGGTCACAAAATGTGACTAGCTACTTGTGGGTGTGGGCCAGTGCTTTGCATGGCATGTATGAGTCCTTCCCATGGACCTCCAATGCTGAAAATATGTAGAATAAGTTTTTCTTCAAAAAGGCATATTTTAACATTTTCATTAACAATAGATGCAAGCCACAGTAGCTTAAACCAAATTAGTGTAAAATAATGTTACAGTAACAATGTCTAAAAAATTGTAAAATCATTTGAAATTTATTTACAATTCTTTATAATCATTTGCTCCAAATTAATGTGGCTTGCATTCAATATTATAAAGATATAAATCTAGAATTCTATTTTAATGTTAAATTTATCAAGACAAAGTTCTAATTTAAAGTTATGAGTCCTTACGAGTTTACGAGTAAGACTCATTCTTTATCAACTGAGGACTTAGGCAAATTTTTCATTGATTGATTGATTCATTTACCTTTCATCACCGCGGGAAGCTTTTCCCTTAAACAGAAAAGCAGCCATAAAATCAGGAAAAATGGTAAAAGAAATCAGCAAAAAATATGTAAAAATCAGAATATTGCTTAGTAAGGTGGGGAGGCTTTGTTCAGGGTTCAGGGTCAATATCTAAATATAGAAACCACCTAAAAGTTGCCAGAAAATCTGAAAAAAATACCCCAAAATTAAGAGTGATCTTCTCTGTTGCCATGGTGTTGAAGGGGCTGTGTCCAGTATTCAGGGTCCATATCCAAATATGGAAATCAAGACAACCATGTAAAAATATTGTCATATCATGCAATGTGACTATATCTTGAGACC